TAAAGATGCAGGAGATGTAACCCAAGGTACTTAATGCTGTCTCTGTGACATTTTTAGAACTCGCTTCATTTCTTAGAAGAAAACAGAATGGTTGTAAATGCTCCTGTTGTCCTGAAGTAGGAGGCAGCAGGGCCTTTCTTTGCAGAGGTGTGTGAGGTCTCACTCCCAGGAAGTAGATAGACTCAAGTGACCCAAGCTCAGTTCATTGGGGATAATACTCAGAGCACCAGTGTGGAGCCCACAAAATGGTTGGTAGGTTCAAACTGCTGACCTTGTGGTTAGCAGCCCAATGCACAACCCACTATGCTACCAGGGCTCCTTCAAGTATGCAGTCAAGGGTAACAATGAGCAGTTCAGCTGGTGAAACACAGTAGCAGGATGAGTGACTGGACAGCATGGCAGTGTGCATGAAGTCGGTAATTGAGAAGGAGCTGCATTCCTTAGTGAGGACTGTGGGAGCCTACAGATTACCTTGGAGAATTGCCTAAAATATTGAGCTCCAAATTGAAGGTGCCAAGGGAACAGCAAATTGACCAAGAATAACAAGAGTAGTAGGTAAACTAGCCCTTACCTCAAACACACCTGTAAACTGCGGACTTAAGACTAAACTTACATGGTGTATGAAGTGATCCAAAGATTGTAAATTATATAATCCAAATCTGAAGGAGGGAATAGCATCAGCATTTAAATGGTGAAATTCTGGTGTGCAGAAGCCTAGGGATGACAATAGAAGCCTAAAATATATTTTCAGGATCTACAGGGAATAAGTGCCAGGTGATTTCCCTTTAATCATAATTGAGGGATGGGAATAACCTGGTTATCAGACAGAAAGAGTATTGGAAAGATGACTATAGTCGGTTAAAATGAAAAGTCTGAGATCAAACGGACAGGGCAAGATGTGACAAAATAATAATTTATAAATTATCAGGGATTCACGAGGGAGGGGGGTGCGGGGAGGGAGGGAAAAATGATGACCTAAGTTAGGGGCTTAAGTGGAGAGCAAATGTTTTGAGAATGATGAGGGCAATGAATGTACAAATGTACTTTACACAATTCATGTATGTATGGATTGTGATAAGAGTTGTATGAGCCCCTAATAAAATGATTTAAAAAAATGGTAAATCTGACTTGAGCTGTTAAAACCTTGTCACTTGATCTCCCTTCCGATCCACTTAGGGCTTGATATAGTTTTTAATATTTTCTGGGTTTTTTTCATATTGGGGTTTATCTGTTGTATTTGTTATTGTTGGTAGCCTTCTCGAATCTTTGTTATGTATTAAAAATTTGTTTTTTTTGTATATGAAACCGAGGATAGGTAAATCTATAGAGACAATAACTAGAATATGTGGTGTGTTTTTTGGGGGGGGGCGTACGATGGGAAAGTATAAGGAGGAGGTGATATCAAGGAGTTCAAGAAGGAAGAAAATGTTTTGAAACTGATTTTGGTAGCCATTTGGTATCAAGCACATCAATACTGCTTGATGTGGGATGGTATGATGTCTGCTGGATTAGCTCCTAATAAAATGGTTTGGGGGCGAAAATAAAAGAACAAGAGGAAATGAAACTCATGAATGCACAAAGGCACTCAGCTCTTCTCTTTGGAAGCCGGTTCCCTCCACCTCTCCAAGCAGGGATCCCGGACGCCGTGCTGTGCTGGTGCTTCCTTCCTCCTGGAGGTGGGGTTGTGCTTCTGCTTCTGAATAGCCTTACGTTGTAATCAGCCAATGGAATGGCAAAACTGACCAATCCCCTCAATCAGAGTTTCGCACACCCTGTTTGCTTGGGCCATTCGGGAGTTGTTACAAAGACCTTGGGGCTGCTTACATAATTTCACTTTGCTGCCTTATCCAAGAAGACACAGCTGAAAACAGCTGCTCGGTGTTGGATGAGCCCCAGCTGTGACAAGGCGAAAGAACACTAACCCGATTTCCAACTCTAGGCACACAGTTTAGGGTCAACTGCAACATTAGAGGAAGTGGTATCCACCAACCCCGCCTCCCTTTTCACATTAAAAAAATCATTTTAATGGGGGCTCTTTCAACTCGTATCACAATCCATGCAGACAGCCCACTTTTCACATCAAGTGTGAGGGGTTCTTCAAACATCTTTAGGTTCAATAATTTGCTAGAAGGACTAAAAGAATCTAAAAGAATGCTATTCTACCCATGGAAACATTTTATAATAGAGAAATGGCGCGGCTTAAAATCAGCTAAGGAATGAAGTCCAAAAGGCAGCCCAGGAGACATACCAAACACATATCTCCCACTGTCTTCTCCATGGCTGTCAAGCTCCACTAATCTCATGTATGAATGTGTGGCCGTATGCATGCATTATTGCCAACCAGAGAAGCCCACCCACATCTTTGGTATCCAAAGTTTTATGAGGGTTCAGTTACACCACTGCGATTGACCTTTCTCTCTGTGTCTCCTAAAGATGAAGTTAATACTTTCAGTCTCCTGTTCCCTCTGGAGTAAGAACTGACATGCGTGGCCCAAAGGCCCCATGGGGTTAAACTGCCCAGTAGCCAAAGCCCTCGTGCACATAAAACTCACTGGCCTCAAGTTGCTGACAACTCAGAGTGGCCCTATAGATCAGGGTAGAACTGAGCCTGTGGGCTTCTGAAACTGTAGCTGTTTACAGGAGTAGAAGTCTCATCTTTCTCCTGTGGAGCGGTTGGTGGTTTTGAACTGCTGACCTCATGCTTGTTTCCACGACACCACCAGGGCTCCTTTGTGCACACCAAGAGACTCATATCTTGCAGGTCGTTCCAGAGACCCAGAGATCACCTCCCAGCAGCCAAGGGCAAAGGCAAAAATTCTCTTTTAGCGAGCTTAATTCTTTACTCAGCACTGCCTTATTCAAAAATCACACAGTTGATACTTGGTCATCCATGCTATCTCACAAATATATTTTTATTTAAATTCAGGTAAGTTTATATTACTTCTATTTGAATTTCAATATTTCTCATTTCATGCATTGAATTGTTATCTCACCCCCCCTTCTCCCACCCTCTGTGGCCAATGTCAACTTGGCCGGACTATGATTTTCAGTGAATTGGTATTTAGGCAACGATGTAATATGGCTGTTACAATGATTCCCCATGTAATTTGATATTGGGGTATGTGATAAACCAGTAAGAAGATTACTGATGCAGCACTGAGCCCTGATGCAAAGGTAAAGGGAGTCTGTGGCCTACAACACCTTTTGTTGTTAGGTGCAGTCGGTCCGTTCTCACTCACAGTGACCCCGTGTACAACAGAAGGGAACCCCGGCCATTCCTGCACCGCCCTACAACGGTTGGGTCTGAGCTCATTGTTGCAGCCACTGTGTCGATCCAGCTTACTGAGGGTCTTCCTCTTTTTTACTGCCCCTCTATCAAGCATGATGTACTTTTCCAGGGGCCGATTTCTCCTGATAACATGTCCACAGTATGTGAGACCAAGTCTCACCATCCTTGATTCTAATGAACAGTCTGGCTGCACTTTTTCCAAGACAGATTTAATTGTTCTTCAAGCAGTTCATTTTCTCTCCATATTCTTTGCTAACACTATAATTCAAAGGATCAAGTCTTCTGTGGTCTTTATTATTTATTGCCCAACTCTCGCATCCAGATGAGGCCATTGCAAATACCATGTCTTGGGCCAGGTGCACCTTAGTCCTCAAAGTGAGATCCTTGCTCTTTCACATGTTTCGTTGAAATCAAAGGAGAAAAAAGACGGCAGAGATGGGGGGTGGCCCACTACCATCAGAAAAGAAGAGTCAGAAGGAAGTGTGTCCTATTGATCTGGGGTCCTTGCATGCACTGTGAAAGTTCCCAGAGACAGAGAAGATTGATCCCAAGACACATGGAGAGACCGAAGGAATGTTGGGTCTACAGGTCCTGAAAGAAGGCAAAAGCTTTCCCCCAGAGTCAGCACAGAGAGAAGCCTTTTCCGGGGACTCTGAACAGCTGGCACTCTGAATGTGGACATTCGGCTTCCTGAATTGCGATGTCATAAACTTGTTTGTTAAAGCCACACTGAAAAAGCCCTCCAAACTCGCTGCCCCCGGGTTGGTCCTGGCTGTGGAGCTGCTGGCTCCGCAGGGCACAGCAGAACTGCCCTGTGCAACAGATGGCTCTTTCTCCCACGGAACCACTGGTGGCTTCACACTGCTGACCTTGTGTCACACACGATGCACCAGGAAAGCCACGGTCTGTTTCTCTGATAACAGCACTAGACTGAGACACCGGGTAGTTTCATTAAGTAAACGAGTAGAGTAATGCAAGTTGACATTGGGGGAGTTCTCTCTCTTCATCTGGACATGCCAAATAGGGAGATGTGGAACTTTTTTTCAAAATCATTTTATTGGGGGCTCATACAATTCTTAGGACAATCCACACATCCATCCATTGTGTCAAGCACATTTGTACATTTGTTGCCATCATCGTTCTCAAAACATTTTTTCTGCTTGAGCCCTTGGTATCAGCTCATTTTCCCCCTCCCTCCACGCTCCCCTCTCCCTCATGAGTCCTTGATAATTCATAAATTATTATTATTTTGTCATATCTTACCCACTCCCTTCACCCACTTTTCTCTTGCTCACCCCACAGGGAGGAGGCTATATGTAGATCCTTGTAATCGCCCCCACCTTTCCACCCCAACTCCCTCCACCCTTCCGGTATTGATGTGGCACTTTTATATAAGTTACAAACTTTTGTCATCATACTTTGCCAATGTCAATTACTTCATATATATCAAAATAGCAGTTCAGCAAAAACCCAAGTAATTGTTTCAGTCTTTTTCTTGCTTGCTTTTGTGTGTGTCTAAGGAACCATTCATCCAGTGACTGTCTCTATAGCCTCACCCATCCTGGACTTCATCTACCAGAAGATGTACAAAAAACAGGAAAACAAAGAAGCAAAGCAGCCAACGACCGTAACAAAATAAAATAGAGAAAAGCCTCAATAGAAAAGAAAGCGGAAAACACAAAAAACTAGCACAACTTTAAAATGAGTCTAAACCTGAGCAGTTAAACTTTGTCAGTAGATCCCCCGACGATGCAGGCTGCACCTGATCTGGTTTTCAGAATTTTCGGCATTTTTGGTTTGGATTGTTTTCTACAGTTTTCGCTTGTTCATTTTACAGTATATCTCAGAGGTGTTTTGTCAATGGAGGTCACCCGCTTGAAGCTGTATTTTTGGTATATGAAACCCAGGATTGATGAACCTATTATAGGGACAGCAAGTAGAATAAGGAGCTCGGTGGGGGGGGGGGTAGGGGAGGGATAAAGTGGTGGTGGGACTGCTGTCAAAGGGAGAAGATGTCAAGGAGTCCACATAGAAAAAGAATGGTTGGAAACTGATTGTGGTAGTAATTGTATAATTCTACTTGATATTCATATATTAAAAAACTGCTCTAGCATGTGTGTGCTGTAAACGAGATTCGGGGCTCCCTAATTCTAGTCAATGTCGGACACCTGCATCTTTCGTGTGTCACCCACAAACTATTTCCTCATCCAGTTTGCTGCAACAAGTTCCTCCTTAGTTAATGAAAATACACATTTATCTTTCTGTAAATCTACTGTTGTTGCTATAAAAAACAGACAAAACCCCCCAAGTGACGTAAAACACCAGCCATGGATTATCTCCGACTTCTGCATGCCAGATGTCTGACACGGGCTTCACGAGGCTTAAGTCAAGGTGTCAGAAAGGTTGCTCTCTGTTCTGCAGGTTCGAATGACTTTTTCAGCCTCTCAAGGCTGCACTTCTTCGGCTCGTGGTCCTTTTCTCCATTTTAAAAGCGGTAATGAAAGATGGAACCTTCTCACTACATCACTCTGACCCCTTTGATGGAGTCCTCTTTTACTTGTGATTACATTGGGCCCACATTGGCAATTCAAGATACAGGTAATCTCCTTATCCTACAGTAGCGTTGTGTGGCCACCCAAGACATAAATCCTATTGGTTACCCTGTTCTAAGCATCCATCTTGATTCTTTTCTCCTAATATCCTAAATTCCTGAGAAATATGGCAAGAATCAGAAGGGCGTACCCTAAGTATGCTACATCGGGGGCTCCCTCCCTCCCTCCACCTTATTATTATCCCCTAAACTAACCCCCTCACAATCACCCCAATCCATTCCATCATGCACCCCAGTTCTGTCTTCATATGGCCTTGGCTGGCCTTGACGAGTTCAAGTGCACCAGGGTGTCCACCAGGGCTGTGGGCAGGTAGCTCATGGGAAGGTAGAAGAGCTTAGCATCCCAGCCAGCTGAGTACCGGGCGCGGGGGTAGCAGGCAGTCAGGGCATGCTCCATGCAGTCGGTCACCAAGGACAGATTAGAGGAGCATTGTTTCTCTATATTTCCAGCGACTTTGACGTCTGTCCAGCATGTGAGAAAAAGAAAGAAACAAAGAATAGATTATACTTTCAACTCCCACTCCTTCTACCCCTTTCATCCTGAGACCAAAGAGGGGAGAAAAGTTCCCATAGCCCACAGCCACCTTCTATGCTTACTCTACCAGATAATCTTCACCCGGCCACTTCTCTAAGGAGCTGTTCCATAGCAGCCTGTCTGGGTTTCAGTCTGACAATGCAGTCTGGACCGCATGAATGAATGTTTTTACAGACCTTCGAAAGAGAGCATGAAAGCCCATTGTGTCTAACGCCAGGCTTGATAGGAGCCCATGGGTGTCTTCCCTCTCGGGCTTCAAAAGAATAGGTGGGTTCAGAGAAGTCATCCCTGGCCTAGCAAGGCTAAGCCCTTTCTGTGAGTTACCAATTGATGACGGAGGACCAGGGGAATGGTTTCCACTCTGCTGGAGATGCAAACACTGCAGGGCGGACCACATGATAGATATTATTACTATGTCACGAGCCAAGGCCTTCCAGGCAAGAGCTGGTTTCTCTTGGCCCTGTCCACAACTCACTCACAGGAAGCCAGGAAGTCCTCGCCATAGAGCTCCTGGATTTCAGGGTTGGCCTTTTTCCACAGTGTCCGGGAGTTCTGTATCATGGTCTCTTTGTTGGTGAGTCCAGTCTTGAAAAAACCAGGCTCTATCATAGCCACTTTCACTCCAAAGAAGGAGAGCTCTCTCCTGCAAGACAGACAGACACAGGGCAAAGTACCTCAGATGCTGTGAGAAACAGAAAAAAACAAAAACAAAAAACCTCCAGGACAGGGGTGGAATAGGCTGGAAGCTTGGGGAATTTTGAAAGGCATTAGTTAATAAGAGAATAATAATGACCATAGGATTGCCTCTGTAGAAGGAGCCTTGGAGGTGGTCTGAACCCACCAGTCGCTCTGATGGAGAATAATGAGGCTTTCTACTTCTGTAAAAATGTAGCTTCAGAAACCCAGTTCTGTTCTGTCCTATAGGGTCGCGATGAGTAGGAATTGACTTGAGGGAGTGGGTGAGAGGTTAAACAATTTAAAAAATAATTTTGTATTGTCAGCTCTTAATTCTACATGTGTTATACTGAAGCCCCAAAGGAATGCTGTCACTTCCCAATTCCTTTGTGCACAATCACCACTCAGCAAGCCTTGTCAGCTTGTTCTTCAGTCCCTTTCTTGTGCTCTGTTGTCCTAATAAGCCCCAGTGGAGCTCTTATACTGGCCTTCCTAGGAGCCTCTCTCTGCCTTCAGACTTCCCTCCCTGTACTCAAAATCATACTTTGAGACACACACACACCCCCCACTAAAAATCTGCTGCATGGGATCACATGGGTGCCCCATTTCTATTGTTCCCTGAAGGTGAGCCTCACAGTAGATACATGCGCGGGCACCCAGGAAACAACAAATAGCCATGCTTCAAGTCTGCCTCAGACAATTCCCGGATGGGAGCCTATTTCCATAGCAGGGAGAGGTTTTATTAAACTCTCTGGGCCTGCACCACTCCTTCCACTAAGGGCCTCGAAGGGTGGCTCCCCATTTAGAGAGGGGGATGAAAGAGTAAAGCAGGAGAAAGTCTCCAGGGAGGGGTGTACGTTGTGATCCAAATAACCCCCCAGGAAGAGGCTTCCATGGAAAACAGAAGCAAGAGGGCTGCGCCGAGGCCTCAGTCCCAGGTGCCTACCTGAGGGAGTCCGAGAAGGCCTCGACGCCATACTTGGAGACGCAGTAGCCTCCGCCAAAAAGGGACACCCTGCCCATGACACTGGTGACGTTGACCAGGCGGCCCCTCGCCTTCCTCACGAGGGGTAGCAGGCTCAGGGTCACCTCGATCAATCCCAGAAGATTCACGTCCAGTATCTTCATAAAGTCCTCTTTGGTCAACCACTCATTGGGTGCTGTGGGCTGTGAGACACCCGCATTATTCACCAGTCCCCAGAGACCTGTGGACAGGGGGAAATTAGAAAGGAGACACTCAGAGAGCAAGTTGAGTG